GCCTCTGTCATTGTTTTGCTTACATAAAATACCGGGTATTGCACCCCTTCCTTGCAACGAATCAGAACGGCACTTGTCGCGACACCAGATACTCCAAGATATAGAAATAACTTTTCTTCCGGATCTGGGGCTGACAGGACTGGTGGATTCTGCATATATTCCTTCAAATGAGTCAATGCTTGTCATTGCTCATCCCCCCAGACCTGCCTTCCATGGCTCCGAATCGTGTCAAAGAACGGCTTGCAGTGATCTGACAATTTTGAAATAAATCGACTTAATGCAGCTATTCGTCCTGTGAGGGCTTGCACCTCTCTGATCGTCTTTGGCTCAGCATTCTTAATCAAAGCCTCTGCTTGAGCGGGGCTAACTTCGATGCCTCTGCGGTTGACCACGTGTCCCAGAAACTGTCCGGAACTCACACCGAACGAGCACTTGGTTGGATTGAGCCTCATCCCATATCGCTTCAGTACATCAAATACATCTTGCAGATGCTTCAGATGATCATCCTTCTTCCTACTCTTTACCACCATATCATCAATATAGGCTTCCACAATCTTTCCCATTTGATTCTTAAAAATTTTGCTAACAAGTCTTTGATAAGTTGCTCCCGCATTCTTTAGTCCGAAAGGCATAACTTTGTAGCAGTATGTTCCTCGCTCGGTGACAAAAGAAGTTTTTTCTTCATCTGCGGGGTCCATAGGGATCTGATTATAACCTGAATAAGCGTCCAGAAAGGTTAAACGCTCATACCCGGTGGTGGCATCCACCATTTGATCAATCTTAGGCAGCGGGAAGCTGTCTTTCGGACAGGCTTTGTTCAAATTGGTGAAATCAATGCATACTCGCCATTTCCCATTCTTCTTCTGTACGACAACGACGTTGGACAACCAATCAGGGTAGTGCACTTCTCTGATAAATCCCGCATCAAGCAGCCTATCGACTTCTTCCGCTATGATTTGATTACGTTCTGGAGCAAATCTTCGCTGCTTCTGTTTCACTGGTTTGAAATTGGGATTGACATTCAGGGAATGACAGGATACGGAGGGACTAATTCCAGGCATGTCTAGGTGACTCCATGCAAATACGTCGGCATTGTGGGACAAGAAATCCACTAGCTCTTGCTGCTCTTCTCTGGTCAGTCTTATACCTACTCTGGTAGTTCGTTCTGGCCTGGACTGATCGATCTGCACATCCAGAAGGGGCTCCTCGGTCAAGTCGACTGACTCCTCCACCCTGTTCTGCTCGGGCGGAGGTTCCTGTAATTGCTATCTGGGGCTTGCCGAACGGACGGGCGCCTTCCCTTTCCCAGCATGCTTTAGTGTGACGGAATAACACTCTTTGGCTGCAACCTGATCCCCCCGAATGTCTATCACTTTATCTCCATCGGGTCCGAGGCACCTCATGACCTGATGCAGAGTTGAGGGTACACCTTGGACTCTGTGAATCCATCCTCTTCCCATCAGGAGATTATACGAGGGGTGAATTTCTACAACCACAAAAGTTTCCATAAGAGCTTATTCTGCAGCTTGAACTTCCACTTCCACCATCCCGACGGGCTCCACCCTCTTCCCATCGAACCCTAACAAGGGATTTCCAGTGGGCTTGAGCCTCTCTGGTTTAATCTCGAGCCTATCAAATGTGTCCCTCGGCATGACATTCGCACTGCTCCCAGGATCGATCAGAACTCTGCGCACCAAGCAGTCCACCACTGTTAAACTGACTACCAACGGGTCTTCATGGGGCAGTTGAACACGCTGCAGGTCTGTCCAGTCGAACTTTATCTGTATCGACGGGCTCTGCTGGTGTAGAGTATTCACACTGCTGACCCTTTTCTTCATCTGCGCCTGCCGCAGGCGCGCCCGGAGTAGCTCATCTGACTCTTCACTAGGCTCGGGTCGACCATGGATAGCATTGATTATACGAACTGGTTGTGAATTGTGGGAGCTTTGTTTATGACTCCTTTTTATTTATTCCACCGGTCGATTCTGCTCTATCGCCGAGCCTTGAACATAACTCGCAAACTCCCCTCTAGCTATCAGCATCTCCACTTGCCTCCTCGGGTTCCTGCATTCGTTAGTCTGATGACCGAAATCGGAATGGAAAGCACAATGTTTAGTTTGATCCCTCTGTTCGAGGGGTTGCCTAATTGGCAGTGGTGGATGAAACTTATCTTTGTTCTCCTGATACAGCCTCGCCAGAGTGACCTTCAGCGGAGTAATCAGCTCTTCCTCCCTGGACCTTTTTTCTGCCTTCCAAGAGGTCTGATGTTGCGGCTGAGCCTGCTTCTGCCTGATCTTTGCCTTGGACTTTTCCTCGGTCGACACGAGCGACGCTGTCCGAGCATTAGCTGCCTCCTCTTCTTCTAGGCGCACAAAGCCATCGGCTCTTTCATTGAGTTCATCCATAGTAGTCGGCGTGTTCACTACCAGACTGGTGTGAAACGGAGTTCCACGTGTCATGGCTAACTTGAAGGCTTGAACTGCTGTAGAAGGGTGGCATTCGATCACCATACTCTTAGTGAGATTAAACCTGGTAAGAAAAGCCTGGAGACATTCATCTTTATGCTGCCTCATCGTGAATAGGCTCGAGATGTCCTTCGGCGGGCGCTTGTTCCCATAGTACTGGCTTATGAACCGATCGCACAGGTTTCTGAAGCTACCAATGGAGCTCTTAGGCAAGTTTTTGAACCAGCTGAGCGCCGGTCCGGCTAGGCTTGTAGGGAAACATTTGCACATTAAAGAGTCGTTTTCCGTATTCAGGGCTATTTTCAACTGGATATGGTACACATGATCGATCGGATCGGTTGTTCCGTCAAACAGAATAAAGACTGGCATAGCAAACTTCCTTGAGTCCAGCGGATCGGAGAGCTTCATTCTCTCTCTGGAGTCCAGCGGTAGCTCTGTGAGTTACGGTTCTGCCCTCCGAACCGCGATGAGTGATAGTAGCCATGGAGGGCCGGTAAGACGGATCGAACGACCGTTCCTCTATGAACTCTCTTTGCCAAGGCGACGCTACTCGACGGCGATCAACCTCTATCACTTCCTCTCGGTCGAACCTTTCCCGATGCGGATCGAAGGTTATGGCTTCATTCCGTCTAATCTGCTCATGTCGCGGATCAACGTGAGTCGATCCTTCGTGATCCTCAACTCGACGAACATTTGGCGGCAAATTGTCCATCATCCTTTCATCACGGTGGTGAGCTGACTGATTGTTCTCGTCCTGCTCGCCTTGACGCGCGATATTAGATTGAACACCTCCTTCACCGACCGGAAGTGGATGCGAAACCGTAGGTATTTGCCGATGTTGCATTCCAGCTTTCAATTCTGCATTCTCTTTTTTGAGAGCTTCAATCAAGTTCATCAACTCCTCAAGCTTTGTTTGCTGGACAGCCTCCATCGGATTGGAGCTTTCACCTATCATTATTCCTGAACGGAGTAAAGGCATTAATCTCAAGTTCGCGAGTAGATCCGAGCTTCGTGAGTGGGAATTTTTCAGATCTGGTTTCGAATTCTCCGAATTATGCTCACCGTTTACGAGATCTGAATTGTCTGAACTCTAAATCCGTCAGATCCTGCCACAATCGAACAACTCGTTGTTGCGTAGATCTGAAGCCACTTCTGCCAAAGCTTCAAGAACTGTAATTCCTCCAGAGTAGGTCACAATCGCTCAGATCTGGATCCAAATCCCAAAGATCGAGTCTCGATCAACCGAATTGGTCTGAATCCACTCGATATTCCTCATTGATCAACCAAACTTCCATGCGATTCCCACAGACGGCGCCAATTGAAGATGCAAGAAATTCATACTCTCTTTCTCTCTCTAGAATTCTTACATTTCAACAAAAAGATCCTCCCATTCTTTCCATTCCTTCCCTTATTTATAGATATTTACAAGATATTTACAAATATTGACGGATTGCTGGATCTGGGCCTGTTCCTCCATAAGTCCTGGTCACCTTTGATGGGCTTATTCGCGTTCGGCCCATATGGCAGTGTCTTTTTATGGGCCGACCCAGCTGTACGGACCGGATGTCGTGCTTGCAAGTCAGATCCGGCCCATGTCGTCCTGGGCCTCCTCAGGTGGATGTGGTGGCTACATGTATATATATGTGCGTGTTTGCATCTGTATATACAGAGAGGGGGTAGAGAGAGAGGAGGTAGATGGAAATTTTAGAAGCAATTTAGACAGTTTGGACCAAAAAAGTATGAAAGTGGCGGGAAAAAAGGTCGCCGGAAGAGAAAGACGGATCAAAAAATAAAATAGTGACTTATATAAAAAAAACAAAAAATAATATGGAGAGAAATAGAGGGTAGAGAACATTTTCCTTCATTATTAAATTTTTATTTTTTATGGGGTAATTTAGAAATTTTAATTACTAAATTGATATAATGTCCTCATTTACACAAATTGAAATAATTGGAGATTAATTGCACCTTCTCGATATTGTAGGGATATTTTTTTTTTGGCACTTAACAAATATATAAAGGTATATGCTCACATAAACTATATAAATATAGGATTATAGTCATATAGGCTCACATAAACTAAGTATAGAATTATAGTTAGGCGGCAAAACTGTTACGGGCTAAGTTGGGCCAATTGATTCCACCGTTTCAATACACATGTTTCAGATTTTGACTTATTTTTTCAATATGTTTTACAACTATTTATAACAAACAGGTAGGACCAAACATGTTGTGGGCCAAAAACTGATTACTGTAATCAACCTGTAACCAAAACACCCAAAACCAAGCACGAACCAAACATGCCTTAATGTCAAGCACGTCTTTTCCTTTAGGATGAGATGACTATGGACCCCACACACGCATATATAGATATATATATAACATTAGAAATTTTTTGTGAAACGAATTAATGTGACTCAGGTACTGCTTTTATCGAGCGGATATTGGGTTGGGTTGGCCGAGTGAGCCCAACTCAATATGTCTTTCAATAACAAAGGATATGATTGTGAATCACTGTTAAAGTTTGGGTAATTTCGAGATTCCACTATGTCTTCAAGATGTAAACCCTAATAACATCTTCACATAGAGAAGGTAGGGTTTGCGAATTCGTTTCAGAGAAGCAGCAAGGTAAGCAGATAGCCGCAACCTGAGGAACCATGGGTCGCATGCACAGTCGTGGGTAGATCTCTTTCTCTCACTACCACATCTCCATGTTTCTCTCTCTACATTCTCTCACTACGCTCTGATGGTGTGTTTGTTTTGCTCTCAGGAAGGGTATCTCCGCTTCGGCTCTGCCTTACAAGAGAACTCCTCCTAGTTGGCTCAAGATCTCCTCCCAAGATGTGAGAAAACAATCCTAATTTCTCTCCCTTCTCTTTCTCTCTCTACATTCTCTCATTATGTTCTGATATTACAGGTTGATGAGAACATTTGCAAGTTCGCGAAGAAAGGTTTGACACCATCGCAAATCGGAGTGATTCTTCGTGATTCTCACGGTATTGCTCAGGTCAAGAGCGTCACAGGAAGCAAGATCTTGCGTATTCTCAAGGCTCATGGTAAATTCAGAATCTGTTTGTTTCCCGAGAAACATATAATTGTTCATTTTGATTGTGTTATTGAGTGTGCTTTGTTTTTTTAGGGCTTGCTCCTGAAATTCCCGAGGATTTGTACCACCTGATCAAGAAGGCAGTTGCGATACGGAAGCATCTGGAGAGGAACAGGAAGGACAAGGATTCCAAGTTCCGGCTGATTCTTGTTGAGAGCAGAATCCACAGGCTCGCTCGCTACTACAAGAAGACTAAGAAGCTCCCTCCTGTCTGGAAATAGTAAGCCTTTGAACCACGATTTATTGCAATTGATTGAATTATTGTGAATTGCTAGTTAGTAAAATTCAGATCATTTTTGTCCTCTTTGTTTGTATTGATTGGAAATGAATTCTCAAGAAATGATACACATTGTGTTTAATCAATCTAGTAGTTATAAACTAGATATTGCACTTAAGATCCTTAAGTTCCTTCAACATAATGAATTTAGAATAAAGCGGATGGATTTAGGAGCCCAAGTATTTGAATCCAAATCCAGCAATCCCAAATGCTACACTACTGCACCTGCCTCATTTACCCCCCTCATTTACGAGGGTGTTAATTTACTGCATAATTCTACCCCTTCCTGAAATGGCTTTTATTGTGGTTATTCAATTTGATCGTAAGATTTTCTCATTTTACTGGATCATATTCCGCATTGAAGCTACCTGATTGAAATTCAGGTGTAGCCTTGATTGTAAAGTGCTTGGTCTCATTGTTTTTGCCTAAAGTTGGAAACAGATACAAAGTTCTAAAATTTGCTTGTCAAAATATAAAATTATCACACTTGAATCACTTGATGCTTCTTTTAGAGGCCTTTATTTTCGTTGGCACCTAGTTTTTTGTGATTGTATTGGACCAGGAAAGAAGGTTACCCATTCAGCCATTAGTCTTCTTTACTCTTATGTACTTTTCTTGGTCATGATATGCTTGTTTTTACATATACATTAACCTTTCCCTGAATGCTTCTAAACTTAATTTTAATTTGAGGGCAGTATCAGCAAAATATTGCTTTATAATTGATTGGTTTTTTTTTTTTTTTTTTTTTTTTTGTTTGTTTGTTTTGTTTTGGGTAATAGAAATGATTCAGCTATAAAAATTTTAGCATGACACAGAGTTCGTACTTTTAGTAGTTGGTCAAAATTCTTGAGGATGACCCACAGTTCGAAGTTCGAACTTTTAGTAGTTGTTCAAAGGTCTATAACTCTATTTTATTTTGTCTGTTGTTTGGGTCAAAAATCTTTTTGTTCCTTTTTCCCTGTTTGGTTGATGATTATCTATTAGTTATGTTATTAACCCAAACTTTGTCATTTGCAGCGAGTCTACAACTGCCAGCACTCTTGTTGCTTAAGCTTGGTATGTGGTTGGGCCCAGTTTTGAGATTTAGTTGTGGTATGGATGCTATCTGGCTCTTAATCGGCAGATAGTCTTCCCTTAGTTTGGAAATTAGTGGTTCGAACAAGTAAGTGATTCATAAAGATTGAAAGATATTATTTTACTTCTAAATGGATGGAAGAACAGAAGAGTTATGTTTTGAACCAAAAATTCTTATTTTAATTTATGATTTTCAAATTTAATTTATGCTTAAGCAGGTATCTTCTAAATTGAATTTAACAAATGCGTTTTTAATTGTTTGATTTGTTAGTTTTCATTTACACATTTGAATTTGAATTATAATATCACCGGTGGGTATTAAGATGCATGCCAAAACCTCATCTGAAAATGGGTTTTGACTAGGGCAACTAGTGTTGCTCATTTACAATTTAGGGGTGGCAATTTGTGTTTGTAGATCATAATGGTGTCGTGTCAACTTATGGATATTCTACTAAATAGGTCAACCCGAACACTACATGTTTAAGAATCATGTTAGGGATCCTCAACACTAACACGACCTGTTTATTAAACGGGTTACATGTGTTGACTTGTTTAATGACCTATTTACCAAAATCATAAATTATATTATTTAGGGTATTTATAATACTCGATCAAACAATAAATACTATGGAGTAGAAAAAATATAAGATTGAAGATCATAAGGCTAGCATGAATAAGATTGAAAAGAAATTTCAGCTAAGGAGATAATGTATATTTTTGTCGGGTCATGTAGAACTTTGTCATCCTTAATTCACAGAATTGTTTGGCCATCTTGGATGCCACACTTGCCTTGGGTTGCTTCCATGAGTAGTGTTTGCATGTTCCCTTGAATAGAGCAAACTAGTTTTCTAGTTAGCAAAGTCCATTCTTAGACCATGAGTGACGAAGTACATGTCAAAAAATTAGGTTGGATTTGACAATGTCATGGCATGACATGTTTCATGGACCTCATATACAACATATTATCGACATTTTTGTACTGTTGAAGCATTTGTTAAGGGTGACTTTACAGTCTTTTTTTTGTGTTTTTTCACTTCGATTTATGTAGTCTAATTGATTTTTACTCGAAACGCATTTTTACTGGGATTGTGTTGTTAAGAAAGCACAAGCTTTGTCCGGTAAGCTCTTAATATTTATCAGAGTTACAATTTATGGTCACGGGTACAATGCATTTATCAAGTGATGAATGTATATTGTCGGTTCATGAGATCGAAATATTTTATATAGCTCACACCCATTTCGGAGCTCTGAGGTTCATTAGGACGAAATGTTTTATTTTGCTCAGACCCTCATTTCAGAGCTTTGATATGCAAGCTGTGGATAATGATCAGTGGTTGGAAGATTGGTTGGGCTTGTAGGTTATATCTTCGCATTTAATAATACTACAAGTCAAATCACATAGCAAAGATCATGATATTTTCTTTTTAAAAGTTATATTGCTTGTTATACTGTATCGGCTGTAAGTGCTATATATTACGATATAAGAGATTCCGAAATCATGGAACCTCTTGACATATGAATCAATGCCAAACACATCATTCTTTTATGGCACTTAATCCGCATGTAATAGAAACACGTGGATGATGACGTGGTATAACTGGTGCAGTCGTTTGTGTTGAGTAATAGATTAAAACTTTTAAGGATATGCATACCACCGGTGCAGTCAAGTCTTTCTCGGGTGTGTCCAGGTTTGCAAATGAATCAACCTTGAGCTTTAGCTTGCTCGGGCTCTGTTCGGCTCGGCTCGGAACTTTTTGGCCAAGCTTGCGCTTGGGCTTGGCTTGGTTTGTGTATATGCAGATTTTCAATCAATCAAGGCGATCTGAACTGAGACAAGTTTACCCACCCATCTAACCTCCCATATCCATCCTCTCTTTTGTTGATTCCAACCGCAATCTCCATCACAATATTATTAGAGTGGAGAGAGCGAAAGAAAGATTTGTCAGCTTTGGCCGATTTTATGGATCTCCAGTTCCGTCACAATATTATCAGTGTCTAAAGAACTAACCTTGCTGTGGCTATTTAGTTAATAACTGAAACAGAAGAACACAGGCACTTGAATGTATAATGGAAAAAGAGTTCGGAATGAGAACAAACAAAACATAGATAGCAACTCTAGTTTACCACTGGAAGTTTATCAAATACGTGTTTATATATGAAATGAAAAGATTATTATTTTTTTCTTGTGATTTAATAAATTATTTTTAGCACGTTTATGTAACACATTTAATTAAACATGTCTAATTGAACTGTTAAGAGTCAAATTTAAATAAAACGTTCCGATTTGAAATGATATGATTATAATTGAAATATCATTGAATCAAATCCAAAATCACTTATTACATGTTCTGTTCAAATCATGTTATATATTTTTATATAAATAAATAATATATTTTTTTGTAATTTTTATTCATATAATAAATTTTTTTTTTTTTTTTCCTTACAAGAAACACGATCACATTCATTTTTTACTTTTCCGAAGACTTAAACCTACAGTATTTTATTTTGGGAGGTGTGAAGATACACTAGGCTGCACAGAGTTCGATTCTATATGATCATTAATAAAACGTTTTCTTAAATTTTATATTATTATTTTTAATTATAATCAAACCGTATTGCATATCCAAAAATAAATGTCCGAATCTTAATAAAACACCCACAAATAGGGATGGCAAAAATCCCCAACTAGGTGGGGAACCGCATGACAAAAATCCCCACCCAGGTGGGGAACCGCCCCGCCCCCGCCCCGTTTACAATGAGTTTGGAGAACCATTTAGTTAAATGGGGTGGGGATGGGAATTTAAAAAAAAAAAAAAAAAAAACCGGCCGGTTTCGGGGCGGGGACAGGGGAGTCCAATCCCCGCCCCGATTAGTATATAAAATTATTAATTTACACCTACCATATTATTATATTTACCAAATTAACCTACACTATATATACACATGTTGTAAACCTTAGACTCAATTCACTTCCCATATTCCTCCTAATGTCAGGAGCCGGCACTAATAGATCTGACGAAACAAAAAAAAAAAATAGCAAGAAGGATGAAGCAACTAGCAGGTACTTGGAACTCCTACCGTCCTACACTCCCTCCTGCCTCCTACACCATCTTCATCCACCGCTTCAGCCGACATCCACCTGTTTTCACAGATATATATATTTTTTTGTTGGATGATATGTTGTGTACTCAATCCTGGATACCTGGAAGCCCATTGATTGTTCAAACAATAAGATCCACCAAACGTTTTTCTGGTTTTGATTTGAAGTTATTAGAGGTGAGATTACAATTTTGTTAATATTTGATTTTCTTAATATTTGATCAAAGAATCAGAGGAGTCTGCACATATCAACGAATTGCTTTGAGTTATATATATATATATATATATATATATATATATATATATATATATATTTGATTGATGAATGATGATGTTGATTGATGATGTTATTTTGTATTTGTTTGGTTGATGTTTGCTTGAAAGTTTAGATTTATGTGATTTTGTCTTATAAAAAAATAAAAATAAAAAGAGTTTAGATTTATGTGGTTTTGTAGAATAAAAAAAATTAGAATTTTCAAATTTAATCAGTTATGGGGCGGTGGCGGGGCGGGGGCGGGTCAAGCGGCGGCTGGGTGGGGGCGGTTATGGGGGTTGGGGGTAAAAAAATAATCTGTTTTGGAGCGATTTTGGGGGTTTCAAATTTAAACGGGGATAGGGATGGGGATTGAGAAACCGCCCCATTGCCATCCTACTCACAAAACAAGGTTTATATTTCCTTTCTCAACCATCTCCCTAACTTCTTTTCATAAGAATTTACCTAAATGCAAATTGATATAAAACCAAAAAAAAGGAGGAGATGAGGTTCAGTACCATCTAATCTGGCATAAGATCAAAACTCAATTTGTGACCATGTTTTGTTTCGAACGTGGTGAAGAACTAAACAACAAGAACAGAGAACAAAATGGAAAGGGGTAATTTGTGACACTTTCCCAACACGTAGGCTAAAAATATTACTACTTTGATGTGACATGATATGAGACGTTTTGGACACTTTTAAGATATACTAGGAAAAGACACGTGCAATATACTAGGAAAAAGCACGTGTAATGTACGTGTTGAATGTTTTGGAGATAATGTGATAGAGTTTTATAGAAAATAAAATAGCTAATTTATGGTAGATTTTATAAAAATTATTTTATTTTCTTTAAATATATTATTGTTTAATTTTATTTTCTTTTATTAAAAAAAACTCATAATAAATAGATAAATAGGTAATATGTGTTACAATTTTATAGAAACTCTTTTAAAAACTATTTTTATATCAATTAATAAATATTTTTTTATATTAACAATTCTTGTCTAATTAGATTTTAATAAATAAATAAATAGGTAATTTGTGTTAGAATTTTATAAAAACTCTTTTAAAACCTCTTTTTATATCAATTAATAAATAATTTTTTATATTAACAATACTTGTCTAATTAGATTTCCTTTTATAAAAAAACTTAAAATAAATAGATAAATAGGTAATTTGTATTAGAGTTTTTATATAGTATCTTAAAATATATCTTTGTCTAATGTATTATAATTTTATTGAAAATAAAATAGGTAATTTGTGGTATAGTTTTTCTAGTCTAATTAGATTTTCTTTTATTAAAAAACTTATAATAAATAAATAATAAGTAATTTGTGTTAGAGATTAATAGAAACTCTTTTAAAAACTCTTTTTATATCAATTAATAAATATTTTTAAATTTTATTAATTCTTGTCAAATTAGATTAGCTTTTATTATATAAAAAAAAAAAAAAAAAACTCATAATAAAAAGTAGTTTGTGATAAAGTTTTAGAAAAGTTATTTTATTTTTTATATCAATTAAAAAATATTTTTTATATTAATAATTCTTGTTTAATTATAATTTATTCTATTAAAAAACTTATAATAAATAAATAAATAGGTAATTTGTGTTAAAATTTAATATTAACTCTTTGAAAAATTCTTTTTATATCAATTAATAAATACTTTTATTTTAATAATTCTTGTTTAGTTAGATTTAATTTTATTAAAAAATTCATAATAAATAGATAAATTGGTAATTTGTGTTAGAGTTGTTTATAGAAACTCTTTTGAACTTCTTTTTATATCAATTAATAAATAATTTTTTATATTAGTAATACTTGTATAATTAGATTTTCTTTTATAGAAAAACTCACAATAAATAGATAAATAAGTAATTTGTGTTAGAGTTTTATGAAAACTCTTTATTATATAGATTTTAGTGTTTATATTTTTTTTATATAAATAAATAAATACTGAAACTCTTTGCACATCTAATAATAGTATAAATAAAAACTCTTTGGCAGAGTTTCTGTATTTTACGCTGTAATTCTAGATTTTTAGAATTCTCAATTTCTGTACCCCTTCCTCCATGCCTCTATTTATAGGCTTCTTGGATTAATAGAATTATGACATGTGTCATTTTCTGATTAGGGCGGGTCGATTATATTGTGACAATTATTCATAAAAAATAACTATTCTTTTTATATTGAACTAAAAATAAGAGTTTTATCTAGAATGTGATTGATATTATTAGGTAATTTTGCGATTAATAAATATTTTTTATTTTAATAATTCTTGTCTAATTTGATTTACTTTTATTAAAAAAAACTCATAATAAATAGATAAATAGGTAATTTGTGTTAGAGTTTTATAAAAACTCTTTTAAAACCTCTTTTTATATCAATTAACAAATAATTTTTAATATTAATAATACTTGTCTAATTAGATTTTCTTTTATTAAATAACTCATAATAAATAGATAAATAAGTAATTTGTGTTAAAGTTTTATAGAAACTCTTTAAATATATCTTTGTCTAATGTGATAGAGTTTTATTGAAAATAAAATAAGTAATTTGTGATAGAGTTTTATAAAAATTATTTTATTTTCTTTAAATATATCCTTGTCTAATTAGATTTAATTTTATTAAGAAACTCATAATAAAAGCTAATTTGTGGTAGAGTTTTAGAAAAATTATTTTGTTTTATATATCAATTAATAAATATTTTTTTATATTAATAATTATTGTCTAATTCGATTTTCTTTTATTAAAAAATTCATAATAATAAATAGATAAATAGGTTAGTTTAAATTTTATTATTTAGATTTTAGTTTTTTAAAATATTTTTTTATATAAATAAATAAATACTTAAATACTGAAACTCTTTGCACATCTGTATTTTACTCTAAAATTCTGGATTTATAGAATTTTCAATTTCTATACCCCTTCCTCCTTCCTCCATGCCTCTATTTATAGGCTTCTTAGATTAGTAGGATGATGACATGCATCTTTTCTAATAATTACATAATCATAACTGGGTCGGGCTGGTTATATTGTGATAATTATCTATAAAAAATAACTATTCTTTTTATATTGAACTAAAAATAAGAGTTTTATATAAAATGTGATTGATTATATTAGGTAATTTTCAGAGTTTTATAGAAACTATTTTTATATCAATTAATAAATATTTTTTTATATAAATAAATAAATACTGAACTACTGAAACACGTTGCATTATTTTATTAGGTAATTTTTAATTAATAAATATTTTTTATTTTAATAATTATTGTCTAATTAGATTTACTTTTATTTAAAAAACTCATAATAAATAGAAAATTAAGTAATTTATGTGTTAGAGTTTTATATAAACTATTTTAAAACCTTTTTTTATATCAATTAATAAATAATTTTTTATATTAATAATACTTGTCTAATTAGATTTTATTTTATGAAAAAACTCATAATAAATAGATAAATAAGTAATTTGTGTTAGAGTTTTATAGAAACTCGTTAAATATATCTTTGTCTAGCGTAATAGAGTTTTATTGAAAATAAAATAGGTAATTTGTGATAGGGTTTTATAGAAATTATTTTATTTTCTTTAAATATATCATTATCTAATTAGATTTAATTTTATTAAGAAACTCACAATAAAAGCTAATTTGTGGTTGAGTTTTAGAAAAATTATTTTGTTTTATATATCAATTAATAAATATTTTTTATATTAGTAATTCTTGTCTAATTAGATTTTTTTTACTAAAAAATTCACAATAATAAATAGATAAGTAGGTTAATTTAAATTTTATTATGTAGATTTTAGTGTTTTAAATATTTTTTTATATAAATAAATAAAAACTGAAACTTTTTGCACATCTGATAATAGTATAGATAAAAAGTATTTTTATATCAATTAATAAATATTTTTTGATATAAATAAATAAATACTGAAGTATTGGATTTCTAGAATTCTTAATTTCTGTATCCCTTCCTCCTTCCTTCTACTTATAGGCTTTTTGGATTAATAAGATGACGACATGTGTCTTTTTTTTATAATTACATAATCTTAACTGGGCCTGGCCGGTTATATTGGGATAATTATCCATAAAAAATAACTATTTTTTTTTTTAATATTGAACTAAAAATTAGAGTTTTATATAGAATGTGATTGATTTTATTAGGTAATTTTTAAAGTATTATAGAAAGTATTTTTACAAAAACTATTTTTGTATCAATTAATAAAATATTTTTATATAAATAAATAAATACTGAAATACAGAAACCCTTTGCATGATTTTATTAGGTAATTTTCAATTAATAAATATTTTTTATTTTAATAATTATTGTCTAATTAGATTTATTTTCATTAAAAAAACTCATAATAAATAGATAAATAGATAATTTGTACTTAAATACTTAAACTCTTTGCACATCTAATAATAGTATTATATCAATTAATAAATATTTTTTTTATATAAATAAATAAATACTGAAACTCTTTGGCAAAATTTCTGTATTTTACTCTGAAATTCTGGATTTCTAGAATTCTCAATTTCTGTACCACTTCCTCCTTCCTCATGCCTCTATTTACAGGCTCATTGGATTAATAGGATGATGACACGTGTCCTTTGCTGATAATTACATAATCATAACTGGGTTAGGCCGATTATATTGTGATAATTATCCATAAAAAATAACTATTCTTTTTATATTGAACTAAAAATTAGAGTTTTATATAAAATGTGATTGATTTTATTAGGTAATTTTTAAAATTTTATAAAAACTATTTTTACAAAAACTATTTTTATATCAATTAATAAATATTTTTTTATATAAATAAATAAATACTAAAACACTTTGCATGATTTTATTAGGTAAGTTTTTAATTAATAAATATTTTTGATTTTAATAATTCTTGTCTAATTAGAATTACTTTTATTAAAAAAAAACTCATAATAAATAGATAAATAGGTAATTTGTGTTAGAGTTTTATAGAAAATCTTTTAAGACCTCTTTTTATATCCATTAATAAATAATTTTTTTATATTAACAATACTTGTTTAATTAGATTTCATTTTATTAAAAAACTCATAATAAATAGATAAATAGGTAATTTGTGTTAGAGTTTTATAGAAACTCTTTAAATATATCTTTGTCTCGTGTGATATAGTTTTATTGAAAATAAAATAAATAATTTGTGATAGAGTTTTATAAAAATTATTTTGTTTTATATATCAATTAATAAATATTTTTATATTAATAATTCTTGTCTAATTAGATTTTCTTTTATTAAAAAATTCATAATAATAAATAGATAAATAGGTTAATTTATAGACCATTTGGTCAAGTACAATTGATTATAGATTGAATTTTAATTTTATTAGGTAATTTTGAGTTTTATAGAATTTATATCGTGCAATATAATAATTAATGAGAGCTCAATTTTATTAGGTAATTTCGAGTTTTATAACTCTTTACACAAAGGCCGAGAAAGTAGTAGTTCATTTGCTCTTAGCCAAAAGACCAAGAAAGGTTAGCCAAAAGGCCGACCAAAAAAAATTTAGTACTATAAGAGACCTTCATGTAATCCTTTTTACTTAAAACCAATGTAGAACTTTGTAATTTGAATTAAATTCTTTTTATATTCTGTTAATTTGAATTAATTTTAATTTTATTAGGTAATTTTGAGTGTTATAGAATTTATATTAATTAATAAATAAATACTGAAATACTGAAACACTGAAACACTTTACACATTTAATAATAGTATAGATATAGATATATACGTAGGCTATAACTGTCACCCGCTTACCTCAAATACAATAGTGTAATTTTTTTCCCTGATCCAAACATCAAAAACAGTGACATGAGATTGAGTTCTGTGTTCCACTGTATGGAATTAAAGTCTTGAAATTGAATTTGGTGGAATTGAAGAAATTTTTGGTGTAACTTTGAACTAAACTTTTCTCCTATTCCATCAATTCCATTTCCAAAACTCAAATTTCATGTAGCCAAATATAACTTGTATATTTAATAAAATAAAGGGTATTATAGCCTTTTCAACTATGACAAGGAAAAAATGTCAATTGTCAAGTATGAAACAAAAAGAAGAGTATTCATTCAATTCAGAGAGGATTGCTTGATTTCGTTAGGGGCAGAAGCCCAACCCCAAGCCCATATTTAACCCTAATGGAGTTTCCTTAGGACTCGTGTGAGTTCCATTAAGGATATTATTTATTTGTATTTGAGTTGGACAAGAAATATGTTTGGGCCAGATGGGCCCTGCAGCTTCCCTTGGGCCCGATGGGGCATTGGGTTCATCCAGACATATTGCTCGTTCACAGAAGCAGTTAGATCAGGCTCAATGACTGGGCTTTTAGCATTGGGCTTAGTGACGCGTATTAAGTGAGAGAGTAATAATTAAAAGTTATTATTATTCTTATTTTTTATGACGTGTGAATCTCGCAATTATTGTTGATTTGAATTTGTAACTATTTATGTTACTCATTCCGACTTCACTGTATATAATTTGTAACTATTTACTAGGAGTGAGCACAGTAGATGGTAGGTTTAATATTAGTATAAAGTTTACTGTGTTTACTTTCCGCTTCCCTTTAATTGTGCACAGTAGAGATTTGAAAGCAAAAGAAGAAAAATAGCTGCAGTTGGTTTGATGGTTGGTGTTCTTAGTTGGCAACGGATGATTCATTCCAAGTTCCAAAGAATCATGTGAGTCTCATCGTCCTTCTTAATTTCCTGTTATCTTGAATACTATTTGATATGGTGAATTTTTCTCATTTTATTCAAGAAAAATGGTAGTATTTTGATTTCAATTGAATTAGGGTTTAGGTTTTGTATCGAATGAATTGGAAAGGAAAGGGGCAAATGGCAAGTTGTAATGACATTGATCAGCTGCTTCCTGAGGATTTAATTATTGAGATTCTCTCGAAGCTGCCTGTGAAATCACTGATTAGGGCTAGAGCCGTATGCAAGAATTGGTACACTATCATCAAAAACTCTAGTTTTGTTACTAAGCACTTCAACCACCACACCAACAACAACAGTGGCCGTCTTTTCATTTATCGTGTTGTCAAAAATACCCGGAAATGTATTTTCTCATTGTTCCCCGATGAAACACTCGCCGGTACTCCCCCGGTGCATCAGGATGTGGTGGTGGATATGCCCTGCTATATAAGGATTGTTGCCAGTCCCTACAACGGTATACTGTGTCTGTTCAATCGACCTTCCAATAGCTTTGCTATGTGGAACCCTGCAACCAGAGAATTTAGGGCCCTCCCGGTGCTGTCTGGTAACTTTCCACCCAATTTGGTGAGGTGTGGTGAAATTTGTGGATTTGGTTTGGATCTCATTACCAATGATTACAAGGTGGTTTGGATTTGGAACACTATGAGTGTATTTAAAGGGACAAGTTTTGGTCCTTATCAGGTTGCTGTGTATACCCTATCTACTGATTCCTGGAGATATCTTGATGTTGTTTTGCCCTATTCTTGCATTGAAAGCCCTCTGTCTAACACATGCATTAATGGGGTTTATCACTGGTGTGCAATGAACAATGACAATCATCCTGTGATCCTTTCATTTGACATGGGCACTGAGTTGTTCCACGAGATACGCGATATTCCAAGTTCAAGAGGTGCCCTTCTTGCACCCTACTACAATAGCTATCTTGCTCTGATTTTGTATGATTATTCTCCAATTTTTGACATATGGGTGATGATGGAAGAAGGGTGTTGGACAAAACAATTTACGGTTGACCTCCCTGCAGAATTTGGATGGCCGCTTGGGTTTTGGAAGAACGGTCAGCTTATTATACAAAATGATGATTATGGTCCTGTGGCCTTATATGATCCAGAGACTCATGAAATTAAGGATCTTGGATCCCAGAATTGTGTCGACTCCTTGGTCAACAGGGAGAGCCTAGTCTCAATCAGGGGTGGAGATGGATTCCTGGAACAAGATCACTTGTCTGATGTAAATCAAATTTTAAACTTTTCTAAAACAGCTAAAGCTGAATAGCAACCTGACTTTCCTGATGATGAGGATTCTGAAATTTCTGGTTTAGTATGATTGATGTGCGTGTTTTAGTGCAACAACAATGACTAAGAAGGAAAAAAGGTAAACCATATGCAGAACTAAATTTTAATGGCATGCTATTTTATCATTTTTGTTTATTGATGATAAACTAAATTATATTACTTTATTCCTTTTGTCTCATCAGTCGTGTCTGTTATAAGCATTTGAAACTCTTGACTTTTCTTGGCCAACAAGTTCTTTTGATTTGCATTCTTAAGTTATAACATGTCTCGACTCCTTCCTTGGTGTTCTCTTAATCATTTATATATTGTCTAAGTTTTTAAAGTTCCATACTAATTTCATACAAATAAACAATATTTGTGAACCTAACTGTTGTGGCTGGTCTGACTAAATTGACCACTCACACAATGCCATATGCAATGTATAAAATGGCTGATTAAGGAGGACTTGGGCAGTTGACAATCCGTGTTAACTACTCAAGTCATGACCTCTTTTCAATTCTGCACTGCTAATAGCACAATTCATTGATTGTGTATACTGTTAAAGATGGCAAATGAAAAGCCCTTGGTTCCATTTGTCTCAATGTGCATTGTGTGTTTGTGATATTGGCGTTGATGGGCATATGTGAAGGTTCACCTGCACCTGCTCCATCTCCTAAAAGTGGTGGAGGTGGCGGTGGCGGTGGCGGTGGCGGCACCTCTGCTTCCTCTGCCTCCCCCCACCCCTTGGTTCATCTCAACACTATTTGCTTCCTTAATATGAGTGTTGCATTTTTCTTGTCTTTCTTTTATTAGCTTTTTATGTGTTTATATTTTTGGATTTTGTTGTGTTTATGCTTTTGCTTTCTGCTATTGGTCATGGTGCGATTGGGATTTTCTTAGTCTGGTGATTGCTTTCTCTCATAATAAAATTCTCATCTGTTTTTCTTTTCTAATTGTTTTTACTAGTGGAATATATTAGTCATTGTATGATGTTTGTTCTTGAATAACAATACATCTGAATACGTATAAATAAAGACAAATCCACTAAGGGTTTCTAATGGTATCTCCTCTGCTTTCGAGAGTGGAAGATCTAAAATTGAGTTGTGAGTTACTTACCAAAGGTAAATTAAAAGAAAAAGTCCATAGAATTATGCTTTAAATATATTAAATGACAATGCAAATTAACAATTGAAAGTGAAAGTGAAAGTGAAAGTGAAGTGAATTGAAGGAAAGGAAAATCAATTTTGTAGATACATTTGGTCAGTATGATTTTTATTTTTATTTATTTTTTTTAATAAGAAAATTGTTGGAAAGTCCTGTTTCATGGTTTGGACAATATGAGAGTTACAAGAAAATATTTTGGTTTACCTAAATTGTCCTTACATTTATTAAATAGGATAATAGATCTAAATAAATTTATAGTGGCCAAGTTTTTTTGGTTTCTTTTTTAAAAATAAAAAGCAATAGAAGAATTTAAATAAATAATTTTGTAGGACACGCAGAAAGATATAGAATATTATACTATTCTTATCAAAAGTGATGCATAAATACATTCTATTTAGAGAGGGGGGAAAATGGAAATAATTGTAAATTCGCAAAACTTTCACAAGAAGGGTTGAATTTTTTAATGTTATTTTGTTGAAACATTCATGGAAAAGTTAGTTGATTAAGAACAGTAATTTTTTCACAAAATTTGTCTTTTCTTTCTTTTCAAACTCATAAAATGTTAAAAGAAAGAAAAAATTTTCTTTTCCCTTTCCCTGTTATTTTCATCTAAACAAACAGAGCCATGGTGTGTGATTCTCCTATTCAGTGAATCGAACAAGAATCTCACACCACATATTGCAAAATCAAAAAGGTGCTTTTCATTTGTGACTATTTCTTTCCCACTAAATAATACTTAATGGTTTTAACCTAAGTCACAATGCGTAGAACGTCAAAATATTTTTTTCCCACTATTGTTCTTTTCTTGTTCTAATTTTATGTTATTGGTTTCTTCTACAGTGATCTGTTGAACATTTGATTCAGTTTCCGCATGCCCACATCGACCCAGGTTGGATCCGAATGCACTCTCGAGTCTACAAATAGCATGATGAAAGAGGTTCAAATGTATTTCGGTTACTGCCAATATAAAACAAGTTTTCAATGTTTCGTTTATGTTAGTTTCCGTGGTAAAGTAGAATCAAAATGTTGTTAACCCACTTATTGGCTTTTCTATCTAGAATTTGTAGCACATTTGGTTATGCTATCTGGTCTTGTACTTGTTCAGTTTATCATTAATAACAAAAAAATGGTGTTACTGTTGATTTTCTTTTCTGTTACATTTTTTAGCAGAGCCTGTTGGGAATATTATTACTAATGCCCCTAGGAAGGTTTTTTACGTTTTCCTTCCTATATTTAATATAGCATGTGAAGCAGTTTATTCTTCTTATATTTTATCATGAATCACTTTGAGCCATTGCAGCTGAGATTTGCTCCAAAGGCGAAGGGTCGTCCTATGTGTTGTGCCTAGAATTTAATTACAGAGATTTCATTGCTTAGTACTATTTCCTTTAATCTGGTGTTGAACTTATTTATAATTTTGCAGTGAAAAGATTGAAAAAGCGGACGATGTTTGTCCAAACTTCAAGTATATGTTCGGTTTGGACATTGTTATTTTCATTTAGTATGATGAGTACCTGTCTTGGTTTAGTTTTCTTGTGCCACCCTTCTACTATTATACTATTGCCTTTTCATTTAGCCCTAATTTGGTAGGAATGAAATGAAATGGGAATGAAATGGTCATTCTCATTCTCTTGTTTGGATGCAAATATAAAATGATGTTGGAATGAATTGATAATCACAATTCTAAGTGGTGGTGGCGGCAGCGGCGGTGGTGACGACAACGCTGGCGTTAATGGCAGAAGGTGGTGGTGGCGGTAGCAATGGTGGTGGTGGTGATGGAAGAAGGCGGTGGCAGCGATGGTGGTGTTGGCGGCTGTGATGGCAGAAGAAGGCGGCGGCGGCGGTGGTGGTGGTGGCGGCAATGACGAAAGGTGTCGGTGGCGAAAGGTGGTGGTTGTGGTGGTGGTGGGATCGATTTCCACCATTGTCACCGCCTTCCACCACTACCACATTCGACACCGCCACATCTATTGCCTTCCACCACCATCATTGCCGCCGCCACCACCACCGTCACCATTACCACCACCATTGTCGCCGTCTTCACCATCACCACACCTTCCACCACCGTCACTGCCACCGCCACCACTGTAGCTGTCTTCTATCACCATCAAACAACTGCCGCCTCCACTGCTTTTCACCGCCACCTCCACCACTACCTCCGTCACCGCCTCCACCGCCACCTACTTCCATCACCACTTTCTACCACCGTTGCTGCCACCTCCACCTTCCACCACTGCCGCCGCCACCTCCAATACTACCGCCATCGACTTCTATCACCACCCCCACTAACTTTCTCCATCGCCGATGCCACCTCCACCTCCACCTCCACCTTCCACCACCGCTGCCGCCACCTCCACTTCCACCGCCACCGACTTCCACCACCGCCACATCCACTGTCGTCTTTTACTACTATCACCCACATTGCCTTCCACCACCACCACCTACATCACTGTCGTCTTCCACCACCACCACACCACTGCCTTTCACCATTACTGCCACCGCCACTACCACTACCACTACCATTGTCTTCTACCAACACCCTTCTGCCTTTCGCCACCACCGCCTTCCAACACCATCACCTACACCACTATCGCTTTCCACTATTGCCACCACCATCAACCATTGCCGCCATTTCTTTTATAAAAAATTATAGAAGAATGTTATTTTGTCAATTAAAATTATTTGTAACTAATAGGGATATTTTGAAAAATTCAATTTGCAATATATTCTTTTTTAAATTTTACATTACTCAATTCCTATAGATTTCATTTTTACAACCAAACAATAAAATGTGAATGACCATATCATGTCATTCTCACTTGCATTCTATTTCTGTACATTAAATGCAGCATTAGATGATTCAATGCAATAGTCAATTAAGAAAAATAGACCCACAAAAATTTAATAATATATAAAAGAGAAAAATAGTGATTAGGCACTGTTTGGTAAAGCTGTGGTTTTCATTTTTTGTTTTGACTTCAAATTTGTGAAAATGATAAGTTTTGAAAAGGTGTGCTATCATTTAATTTACATCTGCTGATGAATTTTTGAAAAGAGAAAAGAAAAAATATGTTTGGTAATTTTTTTTTTTAAAATAGACTATTTTATTTACTATCTGAGTATTTTTAAATTGGACGAAGCGGAAGTGAGAATGTCGGCTTAGGTTCCTCCGCAAGGTTCATCCACGGAGGGTGAGTCAGACCTAAGATCAGGCCTAAAGGCGTAGTCGATAGACAACAGGTGAATATTCCTGTACTACCCCTTGTTGGTCCCGAGGGACGGAGGAAGCTAGGTTAGCTGAAAAATAGTTATTAGTTCAAAGACGTAAGGCGACCCTGCGTTTTCAGGGTAAGAAGGGGGTAGAGAAAATGCCTCGAGCCAATGTTCAAGTACTAGGCGCTACGACGTTGAAGTAACCCATGCCATACTTCCAGGAAAAGCTTGAACGATCTTCAACAAAAAGGTACCTGTATCCGAAACCAACATAGGTGGGTAGGTAGAGAATACCTAGGGGCGTGAGACAACTCTCTCTAAGGAACTTGGCAAAATAATCCCATTACTTCGGGAGAAGGGGTGCCCCCTCACAAAGGGGGTCGCAGTGACCAGGCCTGAGGGATTGTTTACCAAAAACATAGATCTTTGCAAAGTCGTAAGACCATGTACGGGGCCTGACGCCTGCCCAGTGCCGGAAGGTCAAGGAAGTTGGTGACCTGATGATAGGAGAGCCGTTTAATAAAATAATAAAATACTATTTCTAATTTTACTATTGGAGTATAATAATATATATTTTTAAATTTTATTTACTATTCGAGTATAATTGAAAAATAATAAAATAACATTTTTTATTTTATTATTCGAGTCTAACAAAATATATATTTTAATTTATTTAGTATTCAAGTATAATTGAAAAATAATAAAATAATAAAATGACATTTTTCTAATTGTGAAAAGTAATAAAATAATAAATAACACTATTTGAAAACCAAACCTGAAAACCAAAGCTTCATTTTAGAGTTGTGGAAATTGTGAAGGAAATGACAACTAGTTTTTAAAAAATTTCAAAAGTTTTGAAATATGAAAAGTTAAAATAGAGTTGCCAAACGAATTTTGTTGCCATTTTAAAAAATATATAAAAACTACAACAGAAAATCAAAACTGAAAATTTTACCAAACACGACCTTAGAGATCCAATTAAACTGCAACTCAAATTATGTTAGAGGGGAGGAGGGTCCATCATGTAATGTCATAAATTGACTTATCTCAGAGATCCAATTAAATAACTCAAATTTTGTTAGAGGGGATGAGGGTCCATCATATAATGTAATAAATTGAATTCATAAGTTGTTAAATCATTATTCAAAAAATAAATCAGAACACTTTTGAACTTTTGATTAAAGTGGGCGGCTGTAGCAAGGGTCATGTACCCTACATTGGATTGGAATGTAAACATGATCGGATAAAAATGAGTGGGTATACAGTATTACTTAATAATTTGAATTTTTGAATAAATGGATAAGTGCCCACTCGTTACAGTTAGTATCAGAGTTAGATTTAGTTTTTGATTCGGTGTCACGCTAAGTGTCTGGCCCAAAAGGTGTTCGGGTGAGCTACTCCGAGTAGGTAGTGTGGCCTGAGCCACAACGCGGGGGTTGCAAATTTAAGTGGAGGAGAATTTAATAAGAATCATTTGTATGAATTTAAAACAATAATTGAGTATAAATAGATGATTACGCAGCACTAGATTTTGAATAAATGGTACAATTGCCCACCAGTTACCTCCACCAAATAGCATATCATCCAAGATCTCTAATTCGCGCCTGTTCAAAAAAACCCTAGAACCCAAACAGTGACTGAACCCTAAACAAGCTTTTAGTTTTAACGGAGCAGCAAAAAGAAGAGAGCCGAATTAGGGTTTCGGAAAAATGGTGCCGGGGCTAAGGTTCTTCACGGAGAGAATCAGCGACGGCGCCGGAGAACCACGCCTCGACGCTGATAACGGCGAGGAACTCATGCACGTCCAGCCCTGCGTCTCCCTTGTTCTCGGCAACCACCCTCCTGAGTCCCATGGCACTCTCTACATCTCCACCAAGTATACTCTCTCTCTCTCTATAAATATATATGTATTTACCACGTGTATGTATTATTGTGTGACCTTGCTGAACTTGTTATGGTGAATTGGGAAGGCAAGTGATGTGGTTAAGCGATGTGGACCGGGCGAAAGGTTATGCAGTTGATTTTTTGTCGGTGTCGCTTCATGCTGTGTCGAGGGACCCGGAGGCCTATTCATCTCCTTGTATATATGCTCAGGTATTTAGTTTTACATAATCGATGCTTTGTGATATTTTTTATGTTCTTGAATTGATTATTTCTAGATGGATTGCAATGTTGAAGTAGTTTGGTTGTTTTGTGGCATAAATTAATAGTTTTTTTTTTTTTTTTTTTTCCTTTTTGTCTCCAGCTATTGGGCTTTGATTAGATATTTTTATGTGTTTCCTTATATTCAGATATAAATCCATAATATTTATTGCATAAAGAACAACAATAATTCGGGATAATTGGGGTTTACTTTTGGGGCTGTTTGGGATTCATTTGGTCATGCCCAGGTCCCCTAGAGCTTTGGTGGAGGCTTGGAGAGGGTGTACAGTGGGGGGCCCAAGCTTGGGATTATTGGAGGGTTGCGTCCTTATGCGTCTGGTGGTGTTTATGGCTAGAGAGGAATAAGAGATCTTTTGAAGGGAAGGAGACTCGTATTGCGACTCTTAAGATCTCCATTACTAGCACCTTTGTTTTTTGGGTTCTAGGGAGAAATTGTAAATCTATGGAGGAAATTGTTGATATTTTGGGCTTTTTGAGTGCTTAGAGGCCCCATTTGGCCTTGTGTTTCTTTTGTGGGATGTGTTCCCTTTTGGGCGCTTTTAATACAATCTTATCGAAAAAAAAATGTTTGAATATTAATTGAGCAGAGTAATGCTGTCAAGGGGGGCTCTCCCTGCAAGGGACTTCTCATGGTGAGAGCGTTTCCTCAGTAGCTTTTTCCAATTGACTGTTATTCTTAAATAAATATAAGATTTTGAAATGCTTACCCCAAAATTATTTATATATTTTTATATATGTAAGATTTTGAAACATTAATTATATAATTTAGTACCATTATGAACATTAACTGAATAATTTCTTATCACGTGATATTATTTCTTATATATCCTGCGGACTATTTTGAATGGTCAATTTAATTTGATTGAAATGTGAAAGCTGGCAAATGGTATACTATGTACCCTGACTTCAATATTCAAAACTAAAGCCAAAGAAATGCATCTAAATTGTATGTTTCTCTACTACTTATATATGATTGTGCAACCTGAGATTGTTTCAACATTTGGTTTACCTTGTGCTTGTGTGAAGAAACAAATTTTACATCTCAACTCTGAGGTGGATCTAAACATGTTGTATATTGGAGCTAAAATTGGGGCTTTCAGTGTAAAGAAAAAAAATAAAAATAAAAAATTCACAACAATTCAAAGTTGAACCTTCAGAAATATTTGGCTCTTTTATTTAATTTTTTTTTTCAACCTTATAATAATTTAAACATTTCTAGATGGAGAACATTAGAACCATTATTCTCAGAGATAACTCCACCGTATATGGTACCCAAATACACTATAAGCACGGACTATGTTACCTACACTCGGGTGCTGGTGTCGGACACTGGTATGTGTCTAGAGGTCGGATCCAGATATATATTAAATTATAGGACACGGGGATACGGAATAAAAGTGTTCAAAAATCGGACACGGGTACTTGGACATGGCATACAAATATTGAAAAATGGAAATCATATTAGTGGTAGTCTGATAGATCTAATCATATAGACAACTAAGTATGGCATAAGGCAGGAGGCAGCAACTAGCAAGATAAGTAAGAGATAATGTTAATTCATAATTGTTAAATAACTAAAGAACTTAAATAACTAAATAAGTACCTTATTGAGTTATTGCTTATTAGCCAAATTGTGAATTGAATTGAGTCAATTGACTGAATTCTCACACTTGCACCACATAGATTCGAATTTCAGTCTTCACTCTTCAGTCACACAGCATACAACACCACAGCCTGCACACTCTGCACTTCGAAAGTTTGCACCTAAAATATTATTTGAAATTTATGTTATACTGACATATTGTTATAAACTATTGAACTTATGAAAAAATAAAAAGTAAATAAACAAATGCAAAATTGTTGAGTAGAATTGTATAAAGACAGAGATGTTAGGAGTCTTAGGACTTTAGAATTTCATAATTAACTCAAGATTTTAAACTTTAAACCATAATTATATCATTCATATTATAAAGTCATAGACTAACAGATTACAAATACCAACTGCCAAGTGCCAAGCTATGTTACCTGGACTTGCGGAAATCGGCGAGGGTGTCCGTGTCGACACGACACGGTTTGGACACGGACTCAGGATATCCGTCGGAATGGTGCAGATCGGACTCGACAGTTGAAGAAAACCCTTGTTTTGGTTGGCCGGTAATGGAGGTTAGTTCACCGTCGATTTAGGAAGAGATGCATTGTGGTCGAAGGAAGAAGACAATTGTTTGGAACGTGTTATTCACGCTCTTTTAACTTTATGCGCTTTTACTCTTTTCCACGCATGGCACACTAACCCAATAACTTTTCAGAAGCAGTATTTAGGAAAAATGGCAAGGAAAGGAAAGGAAGTGTTTGATAAAGAAATACTGTAAAAAAATAGAAACAAAAAATATTATTCTTATTTCTTACTCCTTATATATATATATAAAAAGGCAAAGAAAGGAAGGGTTGGATAAGGAAATTTTTTTTACCATTCTAACTGCTTATATATATATATATATATATATATAGAATATTTATAATATTTATATAATACTATAGTACTACGTAGTATATATATAATAATTATATAGTTTTAAACTTTTAGTGGTGTATATATATATATTTACTTACATATTATGGGTTAGTGGGTTGTTGCTGGTAACCCACTAACCCCAAACGAGAGAACTCAATAGTCCAAAGTCAGATGCCTAAAAACTAGTAATATATGTAATAATTATATAGTTTTAAACTTTTAGTAGTGTGTGTGTATATATATCTATATATTTACTTATATATTATGGGTTAGTGGGTTACAACTGGTAATCCACTAACCCCAAATGAGAGAACTCAAAAGTCAGATGCCTAAAAACTAGTCATTATAACCTATAATGCTGCACAATATAGGTTCGTGAATTGGGTGTTCTTATTTTATGTGTTGGAGAGGATGGGGTTTGGCACCAAATGGAAGGGGTGGATTCATCAATGTATTTCGACTGCTCGATTTTCTATCTTAATGAATGGGTCACCAACAGGCTTCTTTGCAAGTTTGAGAGGTTTACGTCAGGGGACCCATTGTCCCCTTTTCTATTCATTAGTGTAATGGAAGCCTTTAGTAGACTCATGAAAAGGGTAGAGGTTCTGGGCTTTATTCAAGGTTTTGCGAAGGGCCGTGTGCCAAATCAGATTGTTACATCTCACTTGCTGTTTGCTGATGACGCTATTGTGTTTTGTGATGCAAGTGTGAATCAAGTGAGACACTTGAGATGTGTTTTGGCCTGTTTTCAAGTGGTGTTGGGGTTGAAGGTTAATATTGGGAAGAGTGTGATTGTTCCAGTAGGGGATGTGGATCATATTCATGAGTTGGTAGCTATTTTGGGTTGCGGAGTGGAGGCTTTTCCCTTTTCTTATTTGGGGCTGCCATTGGGTGCTTCCTTGAGGAGTGTTACTGTTTGGGATCCAGTGGTGGAACATTTTCAAAAGAGGTTATCTGGGTGGAAGAAGCAATACTTGTCGAAAGGGGGTGAACTTACATTGCTGAAGAGTACCCTATCTAATCTTGCGCCGGGGCGGGGTTAGGGGAGGAGTTTAAGTACCACCTTGTGAAATGGGAGAAAGTGTGCACCCCGATTCAAAGAGGAGGCTTGGGACTTCGTAGGTTGGAAATGTTTAACAAAACTCTGTTAAGGAAATGGCTATGGAGATTTGTGTGTGAAAGGCCCGTGCTTTGGAGGCGTGTTATTGCTTGTCGGTTTGGGGAAGAGGAGGGAGGTTGGGTGTCTAGAGGTGTGACTTCATTAGCAGGTATGGGTGGGACGACTTCATCATGGAAAGGTATTGGGAGGGTGTGGGACGAATTCTCCAAGCGGATACGGTTTCGAGTTAGGGATGGTTGTTATCTGAGGTTTTGGACGGATTTTTGGTGTGGGGATGTGGCGTTGGCTTGTAGGATAGGATGGTTGAGGAGAAGCATGCGGTGGTGGCAAATTATTTTAGGTTAGAGAATGGGAGGGCTAGTTGGGATGTGAGATTTCGCAGAAATTTTAATGATTGAGAGTTGTTGGAGTTTACCGAATTAATGGGATTAATTTATAGTCAAGTGGTAGAGGGGGAAGGAAGGGATGAGATGGTGTGGGTGGGGGATTCTAGAGGGGTATTTAAGGTGAGGCTTTTTTATAAAAGTCTTACGAATTCGATAAGCAACGGTTTCCTTGGAAGGCTGTATGGAGGACTTCAGTTCAACTGAAGGTGGCTTTTGTCACGTGGACAGTGGTGCTTGACAGCATTTTTACTCTGCATAATCTCAGAAAAAGATGCCAAATAACAGTTAATTGGTGTTGCATGTGTAAGAAGGTGGGCGAGTCGGTTAATCATCTCTTGTAGCATTGTAGAGTGGCAGTAGATGTTTGGAGTTTGGTTCGGAATGTTTTTGGGGTGGAATAGGTAGTGTCAAGTAACACGATGGATATGTTAGAAGCTTAGAGAGGGAGACGAGTGGAAAGTCGGGTTAGGAAGGCGTGGAGGGTTACATTTCTTTGTACTTGGTGGGGGTTGTGGCACGAGCGGAATAGTAGATCTTTCGAAGGACAGGAGTCGCCGGTGTGGGTTATCAAGGCGAATATTTTTGCATTCTCTTTATTCTTGGGTTAATGGGAAAAATTGCCCATATATAGATAGTTTTTTGGATTTTGTTGACGACTTATCGTTGTAATGACGCATTTTGCGTATTTCGTTTGCTTTGTTAAGAGTTCGCTCCCCTCTGAGCGCGTTTGTTAATATATTTTACTTATTAAAAAAAAAAAATTTGGAGACAAGATGGAATAAAAGCAACAATCCATTGTATTGTATGGCTCATTCATTGGTTCCTAAATACTACACTGAAGCTTAGATTGGAGGTGGAAGTGATGGAGTTCCACGGCTCTCACCACATGAAGATCAAGAGGTCTCTTTAAATATAAACAAATGTTTCAAACGATTGTTTAGCAATCAAGATGATCTTCGGAAAGTTTATATCGAATATGGAGCTTTTTCAAGTGGATCTGGTTACTTTAATGAACCTCATGTTATTGATGCAAAATTGTATGAGGAACCAATTTCATGGTGGGCTAATCACGGTGCTTCAACACCATTGTTACAAGTTTTAGCATTCAAGTTGCTTTCGCAGAACGCATCATCATCTTGTTGCGAAAGAAATTAGAGTACATATTCTCTTATTCAAAGCATCAAAAGAAACAGATTGACTACAAGTAAAGCTAAGGATTTGGTCTTTGTACATTGCAACCTTCGTCTCATGTCAAGAAAAAACAAAAGAATACAAGCCAACAAAGTATTGCGACTTGTGTAGGCTCATAAACTAACTACTTTTAAATTTTAATCTCTTCAACAGGACTTTCATAGATATTCTTCTACTGCATTTTTTTTTTTTACATCACTTTTAATTTATTTTGTTTAATAGGTGGTGATAAGTTTGATATTGATGGTAATACTCTTGGGGAACTTACGGAGCTTTCCATCAATGAGCCTAAGTTAGAGCTTCAGAGATGGCATGTTTGGCTAACTCACCGGGAATCACCAATTACACTGCAAATTGGATCTCTCTTGCAGTGATTGTGGCCTTTTTGTTACTCTCTACAAAAGTGGATGCCTCCCAAGCAATCCTTGAAAACATATCATTCATGTATCTCTCTTCTCTTTTCTTGGAAGTTCTCTTTTTTGGGGCCATTACAACTAGATTAGACAAGAGAGGCAAGCTTGCAAGAGTAGAAGAGACGGAGAACACAAGAAAGGTTAGACGTAGAAGAGGCAAAAACAAAGTATAGTGAAAAAGGTGAAGTACTATTTTTTACTTTTTTTTTTTGGATATATGTGGTGCACAGAGGTTATATAGATATATCATATATGTGGTGCACAATCCTATATTTTACAACATTGTAGGTTATAATGACGAGTTTTTAGGCATCTGACTTTTGACTTTTGACTTTTGAGTTCTCTCGTTTGGGGTTAGTGGGTTACCACTAACCCATAATATACAAGTATATATATACACACACACACGCACACTACTAAAAGTTTAAAACTATATAATTATTATATATATTACTAGTTTTTAGGCATCTGACTTTTGAGTTCTCTCGTTTGTGGTTAGTGGGTTACCAGCTGTAACCCACTAACCCATAATAGATAAGTAAATATATATATATATATACACACACACACACTACGTAGTACTGTAGTTTCTCTCTCTATATATATAAGCAGTAAGAATGGTAATTTTTTTTTTTTTTTTCTTTATCCAACCCTTCCTTTCTTTGCCTTTTTTATATATATAAGGAGTAAGAAATAAGACTAATATTTTTTGTTTCTATTTTTTACATTATTTCTTTATCAAACCATTCCTTTCCATTCCTTGCCCTTCTTCCTAAATACCGTTGGTTTCTTCCTTTCCTTTCCTTGCCCTTTTTCCTAATTACCGCTTCTAAAAAGTTATTGGTTTAGTGTGTCATGCGTGGAAAAGAGTAAAAACGCGTAAAGTTAAAAGAGCGTGAAAAATACGCTCCAAACAGTTGTCTTCTTCCTTCAACCACAACGTATCTCTTCCTAAATCGACGGTGAACTAACCTCCATTACCCACCAACCAAAACAGGGGTTTTATTCAACGACCGAGTCCAATCTGCACTGTACAAGGTCCAACACATATCCCGAGTCCGCGTTGTGTCGTGTCGACACGGACACCCTCACCGGTTCTGGCAAGTCCAGGTAACACAGATACACGTGCTCCCCAAATTAATGATTCAAACCCAATAATTAATGGGCTCTATCTCAAAATACTTATTTTTTAGTTAAAAAAAAAAAAACACAGAGAGAGACAGATCAACTGACATTGAATTCTTCAATCTTTTTAGTTTGTTTTAACTTTCAACCATTTAGCTTCATTTGCTATCATGTGTGTGTGTGTGTGTATTGCAAGCCATGATTCTATAGAAGAGCGTAGGCCATCTGTTTACTTGACATTTAATAAAAGAGTGTAGAAGCAAACAAAAGGATTTACACATGGTTTTGATATACTTAGAGAAGGTGTATTATAGAGTGCATAATTTGGTGGGCTCAACAAAGGGAAAAAAGTTCGTATGAAACTTATAAATCTTATTAAGGATGAGACAAAGACTGGAGTTCATACTATATAGAGAGAGACTTGTGATTTCTCTATAAAAAATAGGATTACACTAAGTCATAGTGTTAAGTCCATGCTTATTTACAGTAATTTTAGGTAAAATAACGAAGGATATCAAAAAGGCATTTCATGATATATGTTGTTTGTTGATGACATAGTTCTATTGGATACTTCTAAGGAAGCCTTGGCAATAGTAAGACATAATACATGGCATGTAAGCTTGATAAAGTAGTAGATGATGACAATATGACTATCACAAGTCAAGACCAAAGTGTCGTTATTCGCTAATAGTTTTTTTTTATACTTAGGGTCTGTAATACAACAAGATGGAGAGATAGTCTTAGATATATGATTTAATAAATAAGATTGGAGAAGGGTGTAAAAAAGGAGACAAACTACTGGCGCTCTATGTGACAATTGAGTACCAAATAAGAACAACACATTCATATAGCTGAAAGGAGAATATTAAGATAGATGATATGAGTAAGTAGAAAAGATGGAATTATTAATCAACAGATGGGCACTATCACCAAGTGATCCACTATCCTCACTGCCTTAACACAATTCACCAATTTCTCAAAAAACACTATCCACTAATCAAATTATCAACAATTGAAAGTTTATTACTTTTTCTTGAGCAATGGTAATCTTAATGCATGCAAAATATATAAATCACCATCATCTTTGCCTTCATTACATATGAATGAGGTCGGCTATTTGACTTCTCTTTTCCATTCCTTTTTATTACAAGTCGTGTCTCCTATTATATCTAATTTTTTAAAATCATTTCTAATTACTTCATCCCTTGTAACTTTTGGGCTTCTTTGTCTCTTACCCTCTGTCCCTTGGTTCCACTTTCGTAAAATATTTTGCCCTCTGCTAATGCACTGCTAGCCCACTTTTGTATCTAATTTTCGTTCTTCATTTGCAAATTTATATTTTTTGGTGCATAAAATTAGTGATTTTTTCTTTTGGTTTGAAGATTGATACTGAAGCTGAGGACAATGATATGGATGGCTCAGATTCAGAATGTAGTGAAACATTAGACTTATCAAAGATCAAGGAGATGAGGATTGTGCCATCAGACCCTAGTCAATGTATTCTACTATTCTACTTTTAAGCTATTGTATATTTGTGTTTGTGGCATCTTTTCATGCATCATATATTACAGTCATTGCTGGTGTCTTGATGCTTAATTTTATCCTTGTTTTTGAACAGTGGACACACTGTTTGAGATATTCTGCAGATGCGCTGAGCTAAATCCTGAGCCCATTGAGGGTGAGTACCAAATTTCCTGCAACGAGGCAAAGATCATTGTGGAAATATTATCAATACTGTATTGACTAAATAAACCCTGATATGCCAACCAATTTAACCATTTTGTTTATGTTTTCTGCAGAGGAAGAAGAAGAGCATAATTGGATTTTTAGTGCTGATCAAATGGAACATGAGGACTTGGGTACAATTTTGATTGATGATGCTTTTTTAAATCAAAATTATTTTATCTTCACCCAGAATATGATTTGTAACATGATGGCATCTCTAGATGGAGATGACTCTGAATGGCATCTCTCTCAAAATCCTACGAGTTCAATTGGATATTCAAACGGGGATGACCTTGCTCGAAATGTGCTTGAGGTATGCCTGTTGTTGTCCAATTTACTCAATACTTGGAATTCTTGTAAGGGTCAGGTCATGTCATGTCATCTCTTATGGAACTAAGATAGTGTTGAATCTTACTCGTGTATCTATATTGCAGGATTGAAGGAAAACTAGTAATGTTTTTGGTAATGAAAGAAGATGCAAAATCATATATTCATATATTTAAAAAAGTGCAGATAATACTTCTAATCAACCTTGAAAATGAGATATATGAAAAAATGTAGAATGATTGATCTAAGAAGTTACAAAGGGAAACAGAATAAAGACCTAAAAAGATTGTATCCTTGTATAAAAAAGAGAAATATATATATATATATATATATATATATATATATATATATATATAAATGGATATGGAAACTTTCTTTTTTTTTTTTTTTTCCTTTTCTCAGTAGGGAATGGATACTTAAGGTAGAACAAGCATTTGACAATATGCAAAAACAGATTGGGAACTGATGATGCAGGATTTCGCGGCAACCCGAAGCGACGTCGTACCTAAAAAAGGAAGAGAAAGGTGATCGAGGGGTACCGGCCTAGGAGCCTCCGACGATCAAGTCAGTGCTAGATTAGGAGGGTGGAAAGAAGGTGAAAGGACTTTCTTAGGGATTTGTGTCGTACCTTTTTTGTTGACCCGAACGTCCTCTTTACAGGGTGCCAAGTTGCATTAAAATAGGAGTGTTATAACTCTTACTTCTCCAACACAGAAGGGGAACTTATTCTTATCTTTATCCGAGGTACTGGAGTTTATCTTGATTTATAGATTTGTGTGACTGTCAAAATTCCTGGGTGAAGACTCCTTATCAGTTGCCCCCCATTCTCGTGTTTGTATGTCGAACGTATAGAATGTAAATATTTATTTCTTGAGTTATTCTTCACCCTGACATATTTATTTATTGGGTGAATCAGTAGAGAATATATATATATTTTATTTGCTGAATGAATACACATGGGCTCATGTAACCCACATGGTTAATGCCTCATCACTATGATGCCAGAGGTCTTGGGTTCAAACCTACTCATAAGCACCAAAATCTTATTTTTAATTAAAGGAGGAATTTAATAGGAGGAGGCCGCCTCGCGACAGCGGCGGAGGCTGATACGCAGTAGGCGAAGGTGGGCCACCACGCGGTAGCGGCGGAGGCCTTCACGCGGCAGCGGTAGAGGCTGCCACATGGCAGGCGAAGTTGGCTGCCACTTGGCAGCTGGCAGCATTGTATGTTGAATGCTGAAGAATCACCTTCAGCATTGACAGTACAACATTGGCAGAATCACTCTGCAACAGCAGTAGGCATCATTAAATAAAGTAGTAGGAAAGAAGGTAGTTCGGAATGAAATTAAGTAGATAGTTGAAGAAAGTAGCTCGGAATCAAATTAAGTAGATATTTGAAGAAATGCTTTAAAAGCAGCAGAGCCGAAGAATCGGAATCAAATTAAGTAGATAGAAATGCTTTAAAAGCAGAAGAATCACTGACAGTGGCAGACATGATTCAAAAGTATTCAATGCACGCCTTCATTATTTTATTTATTTTTCGAAATTACCTATTCTCCTTATTTAAGGAGAAGGAAGAACATCCTGCTACCTTAATAATCCTAAAGGTAAACTTTCTTTCTCTCACACTGTTCTTCTCTTTGTGATGGGCACTGTCAATGTAAACATGGGAAACAACGTTCAATCTTCAATTTCAGAATCTGATCTGATAAATTTTCGATTTTTGTACTCCATTCCTTGTTGTGTTTATATCCAGGCTCCCTTTCCCCTGAAAGAGCTTCAGAGGCTCTAAATGGTGAACTTTGTCTCTTTCAGTGTGCCTTTCTTGCTGTATACGCCTACTTTTTCCCCCTTTTATTAGGGAATTTTTCTCATTCCTCTGTATTACACCCGTATTACACCCGGACAAGACACCTTATTAAAACCTTTCAGGCAACTACACAATCCATTGAGTACTAATCGACAATGGTAGCTCGGCTGACTTGTTATTTATTGATGCTTTTGACAAAATGTGTATTGGCTGGGGAAGGTTAAGGCCAACAAAATCCCCCCTCATTGGTTTTTCTGGAGAAAAAGTTTTTCCCTTAGGAGTGGTTACACTTCCATTGACAGCCGGGACCAGTCCAAAGCAAGCATCTGTAATGGTGGATTTTCTAGTGGTGGTTGTCCGTCTACTTACAATGTAATCTTAGGGAGAACGACCCTAAATACTATGAGGGCCATCACTTTCACATACCATTTATTGATGCGCTTTGCTACAGAGTAAGACATTGGTGAGTTACGAGGTGACCAAATAACAGCGAGGGAGTGCTACGCCGCCGCTTTAAAAACAAAAAAGTTGCAAGAAGCATTAACCATTGAGATACCAGAAGGGTTAGTTGAGAAGGAACCACTCAAAAGGCAGAACCAGTAGAAGACCTCGTGGAGATAGATTTGGATGAAGAAAGAACCGGGAAAAAGGTGAGTATAGGGTCACTACTCAACCCACTCATCTGGGATTCACTTGTTCAACTCCTCAGAAGCAATAAAGATGTGTTTGCATGGACACATGATGACATGCCTACATGCCTGACATCGACCCCTCTCTATTATACAGCATCGGCTCAATGAGGATCCGTCCTTCAAACTGGTCAGACAGAAAAGACGAGAGTTTTCCCCAGAGAGGAACCTCAGGAGGTCGAGGAGCTCCTGAAGGCCGACTTTATCCGTGAGGTACAATACCCCCATTGGCTGTCAAATGTGGTCTTTGGTTAAGAAGGCAAATGGCAAATGGAGGCTTTGTGTTGATTCCACAGATCTAAATAAAGCTGCCCAAAGGATAGTTTTCCTTTGCCAAAAATCGACATGTTGGTTGAAGGAACAACAGGACATGAGTTGCTAAGTTTCCATGGATGCTTACTCTGGATACAATCAGATCCCCATGTTTGCTCCTGACAGTGAAAAACTTCTTTTATCATTGATAGAGGTCTGTATTGCTACAAGGTGATGCCGTTCGGGTTGAAGAATGCTGGCGCCACCTATCAGAGATTGGTCAACACAATGTTCAAGCAACAGATAAGGAGAAACATGGAAGTGTATATGGATGACATGTTAGTAAAGAGCCTTAAGGCTAAGGACCACTTGGCTGATTTTATGGGAGTCTTTTGTTGTGCTTAGGGCACATAAGGTGCGGTTGAACTTGAATCCAAGCAAGTGCGCCTTTGGGGTATCCTCGAGAAAATTTCTGGGGTATATGGCAAGTCAAAGAGGAATCGAAGCAAACCCTGAGAAGATTCGAGCAATACTGGATATAAGATCACCTAAATTAACCAAAGAGGTCCAGAGGCTAGCAGGAAAGGTTGTAGTATTGAACAGGTTAATCTCCTGAGCCATCGACAAGTGCCTTCCTTTCTTTAAGATACTAAAGAAAACCTTCGAGTGGACCCCAGAATGCGAGCAGGCGTTCATTGGGCTCAAAAACTATCTCAACTCACCACCGTTGTTGTCCTGAGCAATTCTTGGAGAAGAATTGTTCCTTTACCTAGCAGTTTCCCTGCGGCGGTAAGCTCAGCATTGGTCAGAGAAGAGAGCGGTATTCAAAAGCCGGTGTATTATACTAGTCGAGTACTTCGGGGAGCAGAAGAAAAGTACCTGGCGATAGAAAAACTAGTATTTGCATTGGTTGTGGCGACAAGGAAACTCAGACCATACTTCCAAGCGCACACCATAATAGTACTGACAGATCAACCACTAAGGTAGGTCCTCTACAAGCCAGAGACATCAGGACGCCTCACGAAGTGGTCAGTAGAACTCGGTGAGTTCGACATCCAATACAAGCCAAGGGTAGCAATAAAAGGCCAGGCACTTGTTGATTTTGTGGCAGAGCTTTCTTTCTCTCTGGAAGAAGATGGGGTCATAACCCTCTTAAATGGATCCTGAGAATCAAACCCAGTTGGGGGATACTTGGTCACTTTATATTGACAGGTCATCGAATGCTCGAGCTCGTGGGGCAGGATTGGTGATTATATCGCTAAAGGGAGAGAATCTGAAGTATGCACTTCGATTTGGATTCAAGACTACCAATAAGGAAGCAGAGTATGAGGCTTTGATAGCAGGATTGAAGCTAGCAGAAGCTCTCAGAGTGCAACAATTGAAGGTGTTTATTGATTCTCAGTTGGTTGCAGGGCAAGTTCGTGAAGAGTATGAAGCCAAAGATGACAAAATGAAATTGTATTTGCAGAAGGTAAGAGGCCTAATTGGTTGTTTCAAGAAGTTCATAATCCACCAAATATCCAGAATGGAGAACGAGAATGCACACGCATTAGCTCGACTAGCAACTGCAGTGGAGCTTGAGAATACTAAGGCTATACCACTTGAGTACTTGGAAGAGCCAAGTATATCCAAAGAATGCAAGGAAGTAAACCAATTGGAACCAGGTTTAGAGTGGGCAAACTCAATAGTTAAGTACATCATGGACGAGGAACTACCACAAAACCTTGTGGAAGCTCGGAAGGTAAGGATCCGAGTGCCTAGGTATACGTTCGTCAATGGAGTTCTCTACAAAAGGGGATTTTCTTTGCCCTTTCTACGTTGTGTGTCAATTGAAGAAGCTCGTTATATTATGAAAGAGATACATGAAGGAGTTTGCGGAAATCATGCAGGGGGCAGATCCTTGGCTAACAAGGCAATCCGTAAGGGCTATTATTGGCCTACCATGTAGAGGGATGCTTTGGAATACGTGCGAAAGTGTGATAAATGTCAACGGCTTGCCAACGTCCCTAGACAACCCTCAGGGGAGCTAGTACCGATGTCTAACCCATGGCCTTTTGCCCAATGGGGAATGGACTTGATTGCCCCTTAGCCACGGGAAAAGGGCAAACCAAGCATGTTGTCGTGGCTATCGACTATTTGACCAAATGGGTGGAAGCCCAACCACCAGCCACGATCACAGCAAACAATGTCAAGGATTTCACGTGGACATCGATAATATGCAGGTTCGGTGTTCCCT